TTTTAGACACAATATAGAGGCATATAGAATTTCGAAGGCAAATAATAATAATAATAAACCCAGACTTCTATCTGGGTCATGGTCCTTCCCTTTCATAGCAACAATTCCCACATACTTTTTCTACCATCCAAAATTTCTTTCCTCTCCTTTATTTTCTTTCTCTTAATTTTACCATGTGACCAGAGACACTGCGCCTATTTTGTTTACCCATTGCTCTTGATTTCTTCCTGTATTCTATGATGATTATGAAAGATAAATTAGCAAGCTTTAGGATAGGAACCTCATCCTTTGCTTTTGTGCTCCCAGCTTCAAGGGTTTCAAGTCATTAGTCCAAAGAAGTCTTCCATGGCAGTCGGTTTTTGTCCCAAACTTCCGTTATTTATGGTTAAGCTAAGATAAGCTTGATATTTTGTGTCTTTTTTCCTCTTCCGGCCAGGCAAGGAGTAAATTACTATTGAACAACTTAACCATGTTTCTATGCCATCTATGCATTTAATGTTACAAAAAAGGTGCATGCCTCTGCCCTTCTTTGGGGACAAACAATCTCTGCCTCTCAGATTATCTCAAAATGCTAGGACATGAGCATCACAATCAGACCTTTCCTTCTCAATTCCGCCTCTACTTCTGTTCTTTGTAAATGCTATTCAAATATAAAAAACAAGTTTAAGAAAGTAATTTTTAATAAGAAGAGTAAGTGATAAACAGCCGAATAAGTCTGGATCTTATTTATATTTGTAATCTTTTTCAATTAGATAATTTATGTCTGAATTTTTTTTTTTTTTTGGAAAAAAGTCGAAGCTGAAAATAAAACGACCAATCCTTCACTTTGGTTGGGCCAAAGAGAGAAAGAGAAAGACAAAAGTAAAAAGAAAAAAAAAATGAAGTTGAAAACAAACCAAAACCAAGGCAGAGGAAGTAGAAAGAACAGGAGCAGTCAGGTTTCAGTTTGGGGGTTTCAGCTTTGAGAAGGCAGCCAACAAAGAACAAAAGAAACTCAGAGGAAGCAGAAGTTAAAAAAAAAGGAAGGGGCCGCTCGGGCATCTCAGTTTGGGCTACCTAGAACTCGAAACTTCCACGATAACCTCAGGCAACAACTGCCCCACCGAAATCCACCGTTTTGTCGGCGGTGTATTCTGGTCGGCTGTGGCCACGGCGCACTCAAAAACTGCCATCTCCATCACAGCCCTCGCCGGACATTCTCTCTTCGCTGCCATTTCCTACACTACCGCTATGTTAAAAGCAAAAAAAAAAAGAAAAAAACTAATCGATCATTCAATGCTAAATGGTAAAAAAAAACTCCAAAAACCTTAGTAACAATACATAGTGAAAGTAGTTGATAAAAATCAAATTCTAATAGATGAGAGCTCTTAGACAAAGTCAGACTTCGTCTTCATCTCCAAACTCACCCACATTGTCATTGTCGTGGATTCATTTGCGTTCGGTTCTTTTCATTGTTACTTCTTCTTCACCGGCTTCTTGTTCTTCCTTTGATCGATGAGTCCTCTTCCTCTTTCCTCTCCCTCATTTTCATTAATCTCTTGTTAGATTTTTTATTCAGAACCCAAATCTCCACTCTCAATTTTATTTCTTCTTTTTCTCTTAAGTTCAAAATCACTTGTTTCATTATTACTCATTATTATGTTAATATTTTTAAAGTTGCAATATATGAATATTAACACTCACAATCAAACGGAACAGAGAGATTTTGAGCAAACTTTATTTTATGATATGAAATCTGATTCTTTTTTTCCTTTTTTTTTTCGATCAACAGATGGATTTTGAAAATTGGAATGCTAGAGAAAAAAATATTCAGATGAAGAGTCCATTTCTCTCTCCTTTCCCAGACTAATCCTGACTTCCAACTGCTAATATATTGTTTTTACAGTCTAAAGTTTGAAACTTCTGCGGATTGATTATACTGATCTTTGATAACCCATGCTTATTTGAAGCTTTTTCTTTTTTTTCAAAAAAGTTTATTAGATAGGTTTTATCTGTTATGATTCATATACTGTAGCTGGTGCGCAATTTTTTTATTGAAGTCTTACCCCATAATTTGGCTTGCTGACCTCGTAAGTGAAATAGAATTGAAACATAAATCTTATCTTTCTGTTGGATCCTTACTGGTGTAAGCCATTACTTTTTGCTCATGAGAGTTGGTGTCTGGTGTAAGCTTGATGAGGGAGGAGTAGACAGCCTAGTGATGCTGTGATGATTTCTGAAACAACCCAACCTCTCTTTGTGGCAAACTTAATGATGATTTTTCTTTCCTCGAACCTTATTATATGAAAGGCAGAAAGGGATGCCCTAGTATCTATAAATTTTTTCTCCTGACTGTTGCTTAGATGCTAGGATATTTGCTCTTGGAATTTCGTTTCCTTCCTCTCTTAAGTTTATAAATCGCATATTCTTTTCACATTATTGTTGGCTTCTCATTTTAGATTTGTAAATTTGTCCTTTTTTTCAGCGGTCGACTCAAATCACCTTGGTCTTGCCGGAAAAAGAAACATGCCCTTTCACCTCGGCAGTGGAAAAGTTTGTTTACCCCTGATGGTAGACTTAGGGATGATGGGGTCAAGTTCTTGAAGAAAGTTCGCAGTAGAGTGAGTTACTGGTGCAACTAACCTATTCATATTCTCTTTTATTCGTTTTCTTGTAATTGGAATGCTTAATCTTGTATAGCACTGATGTAGGGTGTTGATCCAATTATTAGGGCTGAGGTCTGGCCATTTCTCCTCGGAGTGTAAGTATACTGAACCTTTGTTACAATTGTTGTTGCTGCTGCTGCTTCTATAGTTCTTTTACTCCCTCAAGCCAAGACATCATGAAAAGTTTCTAGTTTTCCATGGTATAACAATTTTCTGGGGCATGTGTCCAATGGAACATCTTAGCCACTGTCAAACCATGGGTTTCCCATCTCATATCATGACATTTTTTTTTTGTTTTCCTCTGCAACAGCCATGACTTAAACAGTTCCAAAGAAGAAAGAGATGCTGTTGGAACTCAGAAAAGGTGAACTCCTCATTCTCTCCTCCATGTATTTTACTTTGTTATTCCTTTTAGCATGAATGACTGATAATTACTTCTTTGGTTTATTTATTCACTTTTTGTCAATCTATTGATGCAGGAAGGAATATAAAAAACTCCGCAGAGAGTGCTGCCGCTCCTAAAACACAGCAACAGGAGTTTTAAGTTGACTGAAATTGGTGGAACTTGTCAAAATGATGACAATGGAAGTTGATGTATTCAGGACACAGACACATTTAGCTCTGAAGATGTTGTTAGTGCCAGAGAATCTCTCTCCAGTGAGGAAAGGAGCCTGCATGCAGAGTACTCAGATGAACCATCTAGTAGGTTGTTGGAAGGAGATGATAGTTTCAGAAGAATAACAAATGCTGATGTGTCAGCACTGAACAGTGAGTCATGAGACTCTGACTCTTCAGAAGACCCTGAAGTGATTCAGGGTTCCCCTTCTTTGGATGGCAGGGAGGAGAATGATCCTGATGTGTCTTCAAAAGGGAATGTTTCTCCTTCAAGCACTGAAGGGCTATTAAAACAACATGCAACTGAAGATTTTTCCACCTGGCAGCGAATCATTCGTCTAGATGCCATTCGTGCCAATGCTGAATGGATACCATACTCTGCTTCTCAGGCTGCAGTATCAAATGGGAGGGCACATCGTTCAGCTGAAGCCGTTGGGTTAAAGGATTATGATCAACTAGGGCCCTGCAGAATTTTCCATGCTGCACGTTTGGTTGCTATCCTTGAAGCTTATGTTCTTTACTACCCCAATATTGGTTACTGCCAGGGCATGAGTGATGTCCTTTCTCCAATAATTTCAGTCTTCCCAGAGGATTATGAGGATTTCTGGTGTTTTGTAGGTTTCATGAAGAAAGCTCAACATAATTTTAGGCTTGATAAGGTGGGGATCAGAAGGCAACTTAATATTGTTTCCAAGATAATCAAATGTAAGGACTTTCACCTCTACAGGCAATTGGAGAAGCTCCAGGCTGAGGATTGCTTTTTTGTTTATAGGATGGTGGTGGTACTGTTTAGGAGGGAATTGACATTTGAGCAGACAATTTGCCTTTGGGAGGTAATGTGGGTAGATCAGGCAGCCATTAGAGCTGGGATTGGGAAGTCTGCCTGGAGCAGGATAAGACAGAGGGCACCACCAACAGATGATTTATTGCTTTATGCAATTGCAGCTTCAGTGTTGCAGAGAAGGAAATTGATCATTGAGAAGTGCAGCAGCATGGATGAGATTTTAAGGGAGTTCAATAGCATGGCTAGGCAACTTGATGTATGGAAACTCCTAAATGATGCACATGACTTGCTGGTAACTCTTCATGACAAGATAGAGTCGTTCTTTTGATCATTGCCACATTTTGTCCACTAATCTTATGTGCTGCAGTTGTTTCTGAACCTGGGTTCTGTGGGTATTTCAAGTCTCCTTTTTAATGCACTGCTTGAAATGCCGTCTGTACTGAGTTATATTTTGTTTATTTTGTCACTGCTCAATCTCAAGGCTAAGTAGACAGTGACTGTAGTTGAAAAATGCATATTTAGTAGATAAATCTGCTTTCCACTGCTCCACATTTTAGCATACGAGATAGGAAAATATCAATGATCACTTTGTGTTACGGCAGGTAGGCAGAGCTAATAATTCCAATCATTGTACCATATTGCAAGAGAAGTATTAAGAGATTGATCATGTGGTTCCATCATAATCATGTCTTTTTTTGTTACGTCTCTCGAGTTTTTTAGCATCTTGCATGGAATGGTTTTGAAAGATCGTGCACTGCCAAACTTTGGGCCTTTTGCTTTTACTAAATGGGCTTGCCCTTGCTTTGCATCGTACCTTTGGATTTAGATCGGGTAAAGGCTAGTAGTGGAGCGTCTAGCTAGTGGGAGATTGGAGAGCGTTATGATAGAAATTGAGGATGATAATAGATTCAGGCTTCAATTGCCAGCGGGGGAACAAAAACAAATAGGAAACAAAGGAATAAAAACATGTTCCTGCCTTTAAATTCCAACAAAATTAAACATTGTCTTGTCTCCCCACTGAAATCAAAGGAGACTCAAAGTTGCTCAATATATTATTGTATTCGTCAATGGACCATATTATGAACCACTATTCAGTTTGACACACAAATGCTAAAGGGAAATTAAACAAAAGATATGATTGTCCTTTTCAACTAACCGATGAAACCACCAGCCCACCCCTCAAAATGGGTAACCTCCAGTGTAGTAATGAGCTACTCTTTCTTAGTGAATTGACGTACGGCAATAGCCAAGCCCAGAATCAAGAGGGGTACGAGAAATTGTAGGATCTTAATGACAAACTCAGGTGTCTTATCAGGATTGTAAGGGGCTTGCTGAGGTGGAATGTAGGTGCGCTTTGCTGGAACAGTTTTTGAATCAATCTCGCCTATATAGTATTTTTCCATCATTTCTCTTGCAGTATCACTGTGACCCACATCTTCAAAATCATTGGTGGCATCCTTCCCTGATAAAATAGCAGAAAATACCATGATCTAACTTACCAAATTCAGGCTTAGTTCAGTAAAATTAGTTAAAAAACCAAATATGAAAAATATTGTAAAAAATTACCGGTTGCTGACAGCAAAACTTCATCGCCTCCAGGATGATCATCCATGAATGGCGTTACATCATACACCTATATGGGGGGAAATCTCAAATAATAAACAATGGTATAATACAAAATTTAACTCCAAATATCTTGCTCTTGTCATATTGTCAGTGAACTTTTAAACATCGAAGAAGATACGTATTTGTTAGCAATTAAGTTTTTTCTACAATGAAAAAGAATATATCGGATCTAATGATTATTTGGCAAAGAATTGACCAGCATCTGACCGAAATTGAAACTTTCCCCTAGTTTAGTCAATTAAAGGTAGTATTGTGCTCGTCAGTTTCAGCTGAGGCTGCATATATGTGATGATAGATGAGAGCAGATGTTGTCACATACAATAAGTAAACTACCACAAGTTAATTCACAAAAACTATTTTAATGTTTTCATCAGTAGATTTATATGATTAACGCATATCACTATCATTTAGTCAACTAATTCAAACTTCAAAAAGTCCAATTTTCAACTAATAATAGGAGTTCTGCAATTTGAAAACTTCCAAACTATCTGATAAGCACAACCATATTAGGGGCATCAAGAGTTGCGGCAACATAAGTAAAGTTAAGCATTTCATTAATATACTAATCCAATCACTGAAAACGTAAAACGTAATAAAGTCAGCTATTCAATTCTCTACCCCTCTATCAACAAGAAGAAAAAAAATTCCCCCCTGCCCTTATTTCTTTTTCTATTTTGTTTTCCTCGGTCCCCTTCTTAGAAGAATAACAAATAGTTCTACGAAACTAGGTTGTTAAATCTAAAATTAAAACCACCTAATCAACATAGCTGATTATGCAAAGCAAAATTGATTAATCATTCCCATAGAAAGTTCCAATTTTACCATCCAATTGAAAGATGAACTAAACTCATAGTTTAGAATGGGAAAGGCAATTCAACAATCCTTGATGTAAAAACCAAAAGCACTAATTAAATAAAAGAAAGACAAAGATCTGACCTTTCCAGAAATAATCAGCCAACAATCTTTGGTTTTGTTGTGCTTTGCAACATCTTCGAAAGTGTGAATCTTTGGATCTGAAGCCATTTTTCACCACTGCCAATCAAAGAAAACAACAAAATTTTGAAACCCCACCACCAATTACAAGCTAAAAAGCCTTAAAATTCAAAGCTGAGAGAAATCTGAAGTACAAGAAAGAAAGTTACAAAGGCAACTCCTCACACAAAAAACAACAGCCCTGTAAAATCAGAAGTCCAAAAGCATTCAAATATATGCTTGTAAAAAGAAACATAGAGAAAGAAAAAATTAGGATGAAACAAAGAGAGGAATCTTACGGGTGTCTGAGGGATTGGAAAAGGTTTTAACTTTCGTACCTTCCTGTGAAACTTGTCCTTTTTTTTTCCCCCTCAAAGAGAAAGTGCGTAATGCCAACTTACACTCACCGTGCGGACCCTCTCTTCTAGCTTTTATGTTGGTGAGGCGCCCCAATTATGATTGCCAAAACGTCAATACAACTTTCTAGATTTACGGATCTAACCTCGAAAGGAGTGCAGTTCAACGAGGGTAGTTTTGTCTCTTCAAGAATTAATAGCACATAGTTTTCAATTTACTTCTCTGCAACCGAATCTGCGTGGCGTGTCCTTTTTGTCCTCTTCTTTTTAAGTTCGTTTTCTATCTGTACTTAATTCCGCCATTTACCGGAATTTAAAAAAAGAAAATTACAACTTACCGTACATTAATTGCTGCATCAAAATGGTAATGGTATATATAAGGAAAGATTAAACTATTAAATTCTGATTTTGGAAAAAATTGTTAGGATAAAGTTGTCTTTTAACACGTGTTTAGGTATTAGATATTAAATTCTTATGATAAAAGATTATATTTTAGTATAGGTAATGTATAAATATTATATATTATCAATAATTCATATAATGATATCTTATAAAAAATTAAATAATATATAATATTTTCATATTAATAATATATCAAATATAAATTTTTAAAACAACTTACATGATAATATAAAACAAAAATAGCTTGCTCTGAATTTAATTTTAAAAAAAATAGTTTTTCTTATCAGAAATAAATAAACATTTAGTTTAGTAATTCATGCCCAATCAAAATTAAAATTCATAAAAACATTGGATTTTAAGTAATTTTGATACAGTGTTCGCAATAATTTCTCCGCGTTAAATTTCAATTTATATGCAAAACCCACAAATAAGAATTAAAAAATATATATTTAGAAAGAAGAGAATAGAATGGTGAACTTAATATTATACTGTGAAGACATGCCTTTTTCTACCCTATATAGGTTCCCCATGCATGCATGGGCACGAAAATGTGCCAAATTCCATATTGGTTGCTATTTTAAAAGATTTCATTCCAGCACCAACTAATGTACGTAAGTCTTCAACGACGGTTCCAAATTTTCCATCCATGGAGCTTTTGTTGTCTTTTATATTAGCCACGTATATTAAGGTTCTATTTGAGTTGAGATTAACTTTATAAAATTAAAGATAATAATAAAAATTATTATAATTATGATTTAAAAAATTAATAAAAAATTTATATTAAATAAAATTACTTAAAATTAATATTTAAATTTAATTAATGGTGTAATAAATTTAATTATATCAAAAAATGTGGTAGAATCTAAATAAGCCCTAAAGTGATGTGCTCTCTTGAATTTTTCATTAGTGTGGACTTTGGCTGGTTTATGTAGAAAACTAGCTAGAATGAATGGTATGCATTAATTAATTTCTATTCGATACATTTCTTTCTTTTTGGTGCTTTACTTAAAAATCCAGGATCGATCCTACCCACGAGATTTATACCTTGAAAAAGAAAAAGGACAGGAGCTGTTACAGCTAAATGTGTGTTTATTTTACGTTTGGATTCAAATTTTAAGGGGTTAGATATCATGGAGGTTGATTTACGTAGACATTAATTTTGTTCGGGTTTTGGTTTAAATGTTTGAGTTTTATCAAGTTCATGGGTCAAAGTTTAATTTTTTTTTTCAGGCTTGAACCCACTGTTATTGTATTTTTTTATTTTTTATTTTATTTATTTTATGTTATTTAGATATTAATAATAATTTATTAAAAAAATTTGAAAAAAATATAAAAAATACAAACAAAAAAATACAAAAAAAGCAAGTAGGGGGCTAATGCCTAGCACGGCCACCCCTGCAGCCACCAAGCCAGTTACCCTCTACAGCCTATCCAATCCCCTCACCAGCCATCCTACAGCTTGCCCTAACCAAACACCCAGCCACTATCTACTCCACCCAGATCCCCAATCCTTAAAGCCCCAGCTTTCTCCCCTTTTAAAGTGTTCTCCCTTCGGATAGAACTTTTGGATACATCAGAAACCCCATATAGACACCCTGCTCTTCTAGACCAGAGAACTCAGAAAGCCAGACCCTCAAATGCTCTGCTCTTGGACACATCTTCAGACACCCAAAAAAAAAAAAAATCTTGCTAACACCTACACTCAAACCAAGTCTCCCACATCCAAAACCCCAACACTCAGTGCTCGACACCACCATAGCACCTTAAAACCCAAGCACCAATCCCTTCATCCTTCCCTTGATAGAACCCACACAAACACCTAACCACAAAACAAAAAAAAAGAGGGAAAATAAAAATCTACAAAAAAATAATCATATCCGTAGGGAGGAACCCAGAGCCAAGCTATCTGCAAAAAAAAAAAAATCATCATTAGTTTCGATTTTATAAAAAAAAAAAGAAAAAAAGGAAGACCAAAAACTTTAAGCCTCGATCTACGATGATCGGGCTGTTTTCGATGAAAAGAAGGTTAGATCCGAAAATAAGATGTTGAAAAGAATCTTTTAGGATTTTTTTGGTGTTTTCCAACCACCGGTGGCAGCCGAAGCGACGACACACTCGCTGGCAATCGAACGCTGACAAAGTTCTACAGCTTTCCCAGAGGCTCTGAAATTTTTTTTTTTTTTAAGAAGGGGAGAAATGAGAAAAAAAAAAGAGCCTTTTATATAGTAAGCAAATAAGCAAAATGACGTTGTTTGGGCAGGGAAGGATCCGTGCGTCAACTCAGATCCGACCCGAGATCCGTGCATTCGACTCATCGACCCATCATTCAGTCAACCTTGAACTAGTTCAACTGAACCACTGACCAAACTGTCCGGATCGTCGAACCGCTGAGTCGATCAAACCAGTGTTGACCAGACCGTTGATCGATCCGATTTAGGTATTTTTTTTAATTTTTTATATATTATTATTTTTATTATTTTGAGCTTTATTATTAATATTTATGCATGATAAAATTCTAAATTTGTTAAAATAAATATTTGATTGTTTTTAATAATAATAAAATGAAAACAAGTAGGATAATAAATGAAAAAAATTAAAAATCCTAAAAAAAAAATAATAATAATAGAATAATATTTTTTTATTATTTTTCCTACCTAAATGTTGGAAGGAATAAAAACATATTTCTAAAAATAATTTCGCCTAGATGTTAGGAAATTATTATAAAAAATTTTAAAATTAAAAACTATAAAAAGATAATAAATAATAAAATAATAATAAATTTTCATGAAAAAGAAAATCTATGAAAAAATAATTTTCTAAAATCATAAAAATCGACTTGCTCTGAAAGTCCGCCTAGATATTGAAAATTTTTAGAGATGTTCGCGTTTTCTTCAATTAAAAAACCAAAACCTTAAATCTCAAAACCTTAAAATTGAAACTCTAAATCTCAAACCCTAAAACTAAAACCTTAAACGCTAAACCCTAAATTCAAAACCCTAAAATCCAAACCTTAAACCCAAAATTTAAATTCTAAAATCAAAGCACTAAACTATAAAGCCTTAAACCCTAAAATCGAAACCTTAAAACTCCAAACCCTAAAATCGAAACCCTAAAACCTCAAACCCCTAAAATCGAAACCCTAAAATCTCAAACCCCTAAAATCGAAACCCCAAACCTTAAACTTTAAAATCAAAACCCTAAAACTTCAAATCCCTAAAATCGAAATCCTAAAACTCCAAACTCTAAAATCGAAACCTTAAACCTCAAACCTTAAAATCGAAACCCTAAACCTCAAACCCCTAAAATCGAAACCTTAAACCTTTCAAACCCTAAAATTAAAAACCTAATCCCCAAACCCTAAGCTTTTCAAACCTTAAAATTCAAGCCTTAAAACCATTAAAACTCGAACTAAAACCTAAAATCTGAATCTTCAAAATCTGAAACCCTAACCTTTAAAACCTTGACCTAAGCTCTAACTAAGACCATTCCAAAATCTCAAGGACACGTATGAAAATTTCACTTGAAATAATTTATTCTCAAATGCTACCTAGACGATGAGGTATTTAAGAAACTTTATTTAATCAAGTTTTCATGCCATTCCTTAATTTGCTTTAACCATGGGATTAATAACTAATTAATAATAAAAGTATACTAAAAAAATATGAGATCTTAAATATGAATAGTCACACCTAAGCTCCACCTAAATGTTAGAGAGTTAAGGTGGTCTCATTATATTTAAGGATCTAATTTTAATTTTGCATTTCATTATCATACGCACCACTTATTGGCTCACATGTATTTATTTGTTATTGTTTGCATTTGTTTGTCTTTAATTTTTACTTGTTATCTGATAATACCATCATTTACTTTTTCACACAAAATGTTTTTTTATTTACTTACTTTTAAAATTGTGATATTATAAAATAAAACAAAAATAACATTTCAAAAGGAGTAATTTTTAATACTCTGCCTAGATGTTGGAGAGTTATCAATAGTCATTTCTTGCAATAAGTGTTATTTTTATTTTAAGGGATATTATATTAAATCTTAAGTAAAAATAGTTATTTTAAATTTTGTCTAGATGTTGGAGAATTTTAAGATAATTCTTTAACTTATAGATTTTCTCAATATTTCTAAATAAAGGATTTTAGCAAAAATATTTTTTTAAAATGAAGGGAATTAGTATTAAATATCAAATTAAAACTATTTCATCCAACATAAAAAATAGTGCACAATTAATTGGTACCAATTTATGAGCATTGTAAGGGTGCTAATCTTTCCCTATGCGTAACCAACTCTTGAACTCAAAATCTATTTTCGTAGATCAAAATTTATCTTTCTGATAAACTTTAAACCCGCTTTATAATTTTATTAAAAAGATAATCTTTCGGGTGACTAATCACACCATAAAAAAGATTGGTGGTGACTCTCCTATTTTTTTTCAATTTTAAAATTCTTTACATTTGACAGTCCCAAAACCATTATGACAGCTTGACGACTTCATTAGAGACTTTTGACAGTCAAGCTAAAATTTTAATTATGCACTATTAATAATTAATGTATTTAATTAGTTTTATTTGATATTTAATTTAACTCCCTTTATTTTAATTTTTCAATATATATATACACAAGTTAATAAATAAAATAAATTGTATGTTAGTTATTATTTTA